TAGGTTTTTTGGGACACCTGAGTGGTTCAGTCAGTTAAGCATCCAACTTTGGTTCAGGTCATGATCTCATGGTTCTCAAGTTTGAACCCCACATTGGAGTCTCTGCTGTCGGCGTGGACCCGCTTGGGATCCTCTATCTCCGTCTCTCTCTGCCCCTCCCTGGTTCGTGCGTGAACTCTCTCTCTCAAAAATAAGTAAACATTAAGAAATGATAGTAAAGGGGCGCCTGGGTGGCGCAGTCAGTTAAGCGTCCGACTTCAGCCAGGTCACGGTCTCGCGGTCTGTGAGTTCGAGCCCCGCGTCGGGCTCTGGGCGGATGGCTCAGAGCCTGGAGCCTGTTTCCGATTCTGTGTCTCCCTCTCTCTCTGCCCCTCCCCCGTTCATGCTCTGTCTCTCTCTGTCCCAAAAATAAATAAACGTTGAAAAAAAAAAATGATAGTAAAAAGAAATATATTTTTTTTAAGTTTATGTATTTGAGAGAGAGAGAGAGAAAGAACATGAGTGGGGGAGGGGCAAAGAGAGAGGGAGACGGAATCCCAAGCAGGCTCCACACTGTCAGCACAGAGCCCGATGTGATGCTCGGGCCCACGAACCGTGAGATGATGACCTGAGCTGAAACCAAGAGTCGGACGCTCAACTGACTGAGCCACCCAGGCACTCCAAGAAATAGTTTTCAACGAGTAGTGTTATCATTACAGTGTTTGCATATTTAGAAAATTAAACTACTGATTGATTTGTTTATTCATTGAATAAATACTTATAACACTCCTACTACGGGCTAGGCTCTGGAGCTACAACAGTAGATAAGTTAGACCAGGCCTGCCTTCATGGCATTTACATTTTCATGGGTGAGAATGGGGACATCTGGCTGGCTCAGTTGGAAGAGCATGTGGCTCTTGATCTTGGGGTCATGAATTCGAGCCCCACATGGATGTAGAGACTACTTAAATAGATAAAAAAAACTTTAATGGGTAAGAAGGAAACATTAACAAAGAAAATGATTGGGGCGTCTGGGTGGCTCAATCAATTAAGCATCCAACTTCGGCTCAGGTCATGATCTTGTAGTTCGTGAATTTGAGCCCCATGTCATGCTCTGTGCTGATAGCTTGGAGCCTGGAGCCTGTTTCGGATTCTGTGTCTCCCTCTCTCTGTGCCCCTCCCGAGCTCTTGCTCGCTGTCTCTCTCTCTCTCAAAATTAAATAAACAGTTTTTAAAAATGATAGATTATTAAAAAGTAAATGGTATTAAGGAATTAAAAAGATTATATGAAGGTTGTATGTAGTTGCTAAAAGTCTACTTTCGTAGGGAAGCACGGGGACCCTCTGTTAATGTCTGATGTTTTTGCTGAGACCTAAAATGGTACAGAGCCTGTTGTACAGACCTAGGGGATGAGCATTTCAAGCAGAGGGAAAAGCAAATTTAAAGTATGTTCAGGGAGGGGCAGCTGGCTGGCTCAGTCGGTAGAGCAAGTTCATGAGCTCGAGCCCCACATTGGGTGTGGACCCTACTTTACAAGAATTTTAATTTAAAAAGAAAAGTATGTTCAGGGAAGAGGGAGAATATCATTGTGGTCATAGAGGAATAAGCAAGAAGGAAGTGGAAAGCAAAGAGGTTGATGGGTTGGGGGGTGGGGGCAGCAGCCAATTGTGGAGGATGCCTTCTAGGGCCTTTACATTCCTGGTGAGAATAATTTAGCTGTAAACATTCTACCTCTTTGAAGGATTGTGTGTAAGGAAGAAACATCTGATTTAGGTTTTTGTAGATCTTCTGGCTGCTTGATGGAACATATATAATATTTGTTGTTGTTTCTATTTAAAGGAAACTTCAGGGGCGCCTGGGTGGCTCTGTCTGATGAGACTCTTGGTTTCAGCTCAGGTCATGATCTCACGGTTCGTGAGATCAAGCCTGCATCAGGCTCTGCATTATTAGTGCAGAGCCTGCTTGGGATTCTCTCTCTCTGCCCCTCTCCTGTTTGTGCTTTCACTCTTTCTCAAAAATAAATAAACTTAAAAAAAATTGAAAGTAAAATAAAGAAAAACTTCAGAAATGTGTCCCAAAACATATATTGTAATGTCTTACTTGAGATAGTTCTGAGCTCCATTATCTGATTCTTCTCAGATCCAAGATATTTGTTTTATTTTAAAGAATTTCTAGGGGCGCCTGGGTGGCGCAGTCGGTTAAGCGTCCGACTTCAGCCAGGTCACGATCTCGCGGTCCGGGAGTTCGAGCCCCGCGTCGGGCTCTGGGCTGATGGCTCAGAGCCTGGAGCCTGTTTCCGATTCTGTGTCTCCCTCTCTCTCTGCCCCTCCCCTGTTCATGCTCTGTCTCTCTCTGTCCCAAAAATAAATAAACGTTGAAAAAAAAAAAATTAAAAAAAAAAAAAAAAAAGAATTTCTACTATGTACACTTCAGAAAAAGGTTGAGAGAGTCCTCTAGAAATAAGAGGCTTTCACATTCTCTCCAAAGTTCCTTGCTGTCTTGTTCCTTAACTCGTTTTAGACTTAGGGAAATCCTTTCTTTCCTTGCCTAAGTGCTATTTGAATTACCAAAATTGTAATTTTTTCTCCTTCTGACCTGCAGTCCCTAAAAGATAAGTTAGTACAAGAGAAAAAATTGTCCAACATGTATCAAGAGCAGTGCATTTCCCTAGAAGAAGAACTTGCCCGAATTCGTGAGGAAGAGAGAGTGAGGAGAGAGATCTTCAAGGTACAAAATTCTCTGCCACCTCTGATGGAGTGGGAAGTGCAGATGGTTTGGGGAATGCTTCCCTCATCTTCAAAAATGCCTTGCCCTGTCCTTATATTTAGGATCGCACTAACAAGATGGGGAGGCGCTTACAGGTGATGACAAAACGCTATGAGGCCTTGGAGAATCGGCGTATCTTGGAAGTAGAAGGCTTTAAGACAGATATTAAGATTCTCCGGCAGAGGCTGAAAGACTTGGAGCAAATACTCTATAAGGTAATTGCTAATTCTGAATGACCAAGAGGGAGAAAAGGGGTGCAGGTGAGGAGACGTGGCCGTGAGGCCTCCTCAGAAGAGAAATATGTAGACACACCTCACTAAAATCAGTTTAGTGAGTACACACCAGAGGGAAGACTAAGTAGACTGAAATCATTGATTGCATCAGTGTACTTCTGTCTTAGCTAAACTTAGCAGAAAGCTTCATCCTTCCCTGTTCAAGAAGTAGAGTACAAGAACTGTGTCTATTTTACCAGTGGAGAAAGTGAGTAATTGAGTAGTAAAGTAATTTCTCCCTATCAAACACAGCTTTATTTAGAATCCAGGTTGCCTCAGGATCCTTCTTAAGGAGATTTAACCAGTCATCCACATATCTTCAATGATTGCTATGTGCCAAACAAGGTCAATTGTGGAAAAGAAGAGATGCTTTCTTTGATTCTTTGGCAAATTTACCAGTAATGTTCATATCAGTGTCTTTTTTTACTCATTATTTATGATCTCTGTCCCATGGCTTCTTTACTGCTATGTGGGAAAGCCAAGAGTCTCACGCCTTTTCTGCTTTAATTGTACTCTACATTTTCCTTCTTTTAGTTAGTTGTTAAGCAAACTAAGGACTGGATTTCTCTTATGTACTACAAGTCTCACAAAAAGGAGCCAGAGAGCCTAGCCTTTCTGACCGATTTCTTCTCCTGGCGTGTGCTATAATCATTTCTTCTTTTTTTTTCCAATCTCTAGGCAACACTTAATGCCCAGGCAAACCAGGATCTTGCCATTCTGTGTGAGGTGCGTGACAGCAATAGACGGGCACATAAGCTACAAGGAGAACTGAAGAACCTTAAGTCCAAAGTATTTGGTCTGGAGAATGAACTTAGACTCTGTTGATGTTTACATTTAGAAATGGCCCTCGTCTGGAATAGGTCTGCTTCCTGAAATCTGAGGAAAAGGTTATTTTCTCCCAGAATCTGTACACATAGAGTCGGCTAGGACAGTGATATCCATCATTATGAAGACCGGGCTAAGAGTTAGGGACCACTAAAGGAGCTCTTCTTGCTAAGTTTTAGCTATAATTTTTGCTGTCCTATTAGCTTTTTTTTTTTTTTTTTTTTTTTTTTTTTTTTTTTTTTTTTTTTTTTTTTGGTCTGGATTGTAACCTTTCCCACATTTTTTCTCCCACTTAAAATAGGAGTTTTTTGTTTTTTTAAGAAGGCAATGACAATGAAAATTTAGGAAGAAAGTATTTTCTTCACTCAGCTGGGCTGAGTGTCAGTAGTTGGAACACTTTCCCTGAGATCAAGGCATCCTCTGAGGTTGCCCAAGGCAGCAAATCACATTCTGTCAAATGTGAACAGGTAGTAATTCTGCTATTTAACTTTCTTCCCTCATGAGCGGAATTACTTTTTTTGGATACCCAGTCTCAGGAAGTTTCACCAGAGGGCACTAAAGACCTCTTCCTTTCTTTCTCCCTTTATTTCTCTCTTTTTCTTTCTAGAGACTCCATTTTTAAACAAAATGTTCACCTAGGAAAATAAAAGTGCCACTTTGCTAAGAGTGAGTGAAACTTCAGTGATCCTTGTATGAAAGCTCATCATTTCACCAATAACATGTTTTTTAAAAAATAATGTATATATTGTATATTACACATTAACTATTTTTCAATAAAAATGTAATTGAGGATATTCTAGTTTTCTATCATTTGTTAAAAACCACATTTATAACTTTGTTAATGACTTTACTTGTTCCAAGTCTCTGCAGTTTTGTACAAGTATTAAAGTTTTGCTCTGAAATTCTATGATTTAATAAGCCTTTTTGTTTTGCCTAGTGCCAAAATAGCAACTGTAATGAAAAAGTAGTTCTTTAAGTGTTAGAACAAAAAGAAGAACCATCCACATATGTAAGTCCCTCTAAAGTCCAAGACTAATCCCTCTGGGAATTTCTGGCTGAACTTGTTAGTTGAAAAAAACCTGATCTGTTATCATAGACATTAAAGAAGAAAGTAGCATCTCCTACTGGCAGTTCAATCACCATTTTCTTAATACAAATATGGAAACCTGAGTTCTTTCCTTTGTCCTGGATGAATCAGAATGAGGCTATACTAAGCTAAGATCAACTGACTGTCCAGAGGCTGTCCAGGTACATATGCAATTATTTTGGTCCAGAGGCAGAACAATTTGCTTTATAGAGGATGTAGATGGAAAAATGGATAAAGTTTTAGTGCCACTACCTTTGGTTCTATCACATATAAACGAAGAGATGTTCGTGAAATAAGAGGAGGAGGAGAATGAGAGCCAGTTCGATGGAGGCAGCAAGAGCAGAGGAGTAGATAATCCTTAGGGCTGATTGCCTCATTTTTCACAGAGGGAATAAAATCAAGGCCTTCCACTGAGAGTGAGATGGGGCACTGCTGTCGTGCGGAGCTTGAGAAGAGTGAATGTTTGGAAAGAGGAGAGGGCACTGGCGAGGGGCAAGGGATAGAACCATTAGGAGTAGGTTTTGATGAAGGATTTGGTGAGTTGAATTGGCTGCCAATGAAAAAAAAGTCTAAGATTCCAGCAAATCACTGTCTGCGTCATGTGTCCTAACTTACCAAGTAGGTAAAGGCAGAGAACTAAATGGATCTAGAATAGGCAGACAGGAGAAAGGGCCAAAGGGAGGCACTGCAAAGAAAATGTTTCAAAAGATGGTGTTTGTTTTTAAAGTAAGCTCTAGGCCCAAGGTGGGACTTGAACTCAGGACCCTGAGATAAAGAGTTACGTGTTCTACCAACTGAGCCAGCTAAGTTCCTCCAAAAGGTTTTTTTGGGTTTTGTTGTTTGTAAATCTGTTAATGGGTGTAAGCTGTGAAGTATTCTACTCCTGGACTGATTGGTAGCTTAATTTCAAGTCAGTCCTACAAAAAGAAGTGTGAACACAAGCTGAACTTGTGGAACAGTTATGTACTTGATTACTTGGTGTCTAAGGTAGCATCATAGTATACCCATATTATTGTGGATGGGATAGCTCTCTTTTTGGAAACGATGTAATTTTTTTCTGAACTACCAGATGATAATATTCACATCTTAAGTGGTACATAAGTGTGTGGAGTGAGATTGTTACTAAGAAACCCACTGCCCTTGCCATAGGAGCTTTCTGGGAGCTTGGCTGTCAAATAGAAGCTATTATTGCTTTTGTTTGCAGATCTTGGCATCTCTTCTTTGCTTTTTGGGCTGCGTGGCTTCTTTCTGAAAACTGAGCCAGCCATGCTTTTTTTTTTTTTTTAATTGTGTTGTATTGACACATTAACAGACCAACAAGTGCCATAGAATACAAAGTTGAGAAATAGACCCAATTAAATATTGGAATTTAGGTTACTGTAATAGAGTCAATTCAAATTGGTGTGGTAAATATATATTTGTTTTAGTTAAATATTTATTATAAAATCATATGCTTGAAAAGTTAATTCATTTACCTCCATCTTAATCTATCTATCTTCTTAGATAATTGTGGGTTCACATGTGGTTGGAAGAAATACAGAGTAAGATGTTATTTGTCCAGTTTCTCTCAGCCATTCCATTTTGACATGGCTAGTCTGCTGTTTTTTGCATCCCAATAAACTCCAATTGGACCACGGTGTTTCTGATGGACCTCCTGTTGGTTTTGTGGCATTTTCTTTCCTCGTTTGGCTCACGATTGTCCAATCCACTAAACATCTTCGTATTTAACCATATCGGTGCTAATTTTAAATTAGTACAATCTCGATACTACTTTGTTGACTGTTCTCTGTCTTGACATTTAGAAAGGGATAATGAAATATTAAATGGAGGGATCCAAAATCTGAATGAGTCTGATGTATTGTCATGCATATTTCTGTAAGATTTCATTTGGCCACAAGCTCGATAATTGGTCAAGATTGGACTGGTCTGTCTGGGGTTCTTTTACTTAACTAGAGTGATTCTCCACTCTGCCCTACACTCTTGTATCACTTCCTAGGCCAGGGCACCACCTGATAAGCTTCTACAGAAGAGCTATGCTCTCTATGTGCCAAAAGCTATGCTTTCTTGCTTTATGTCAAAGCAATGAATTCCTTCCCCCCAAAAATGACCTTATTAAACTCTTCTTTATATGTTCTTTGTTCAAATCCTCTATAATGTCTTCAGGATTCTGTATTTCACCTCTACTCAGTCTGACCGTAACCCTGAATTCATCCTGCCCCATCTTGTGTCATGCCTGGCCTCCAGCTTCACCTCCTGAGCACTCGCATTTGAGGGTGCCACCCCATCCTCACGTGTTCTCCTTGCTTCGTAGATCTCTCTGTCCTCTCTGACTCCTCTGTTGGCTGGGTTTGCTCACTCCTTGTCTGACTCCCTTCTGCTTATCATGTCAATGTCAATATTCCCAGGACTCTCTCACCCACAGGATCCTCCCTAGGTGATCTGCTTTTCCATGATTCCAGCAACTAATGGTGAGAATGTTAGGGGATTTCTTTGCCTAGAGGTATCGAAAAGCAGGAGTAATCTCCCTTGAGAATAGTACGAAATTTAAAAAAAACCACACAACTTTTATTATTTTTAATTTTTAATTTTTTATATACCCAACATGGGGACCGAAAGTACAACCTTGAGATCAAAAGTTGTATGCTCTGCTGACAGCCAGGAACAGCATGGAATTTAAGGGAAAACCTACCTGAAAGCAAAGTATCCACCTAGTAAGCAAAGGTAGCACTGGGATGGGAAACTGTATAGCAAAGGGTGACTGAATCCAGATGAGAGAAATAAATCAGAGACTGATTTAAAGTCCCCAAGTTCACTTGCTAATGACTTAAAGGAAAACAGAACATGAAATGTCCCCTAAAATGAGCTGGGATGATGGAATGCAGGGGTTTTCCATGTGTATCTCTCAGTGACTTGCTTTGACAGGCCTCTTTTTAGGGTAAGATGTCAGGTTGAAGAGCAGAATCTTTGTTAAGGCAGAAGAATTTTTTTGAAGCTCTAGGGAATATAAATACTTAGGAAGAACTCAGCATTTCACTTTCTCCCAAAGTGATTTCTTACACCCAACACCCACCCTGACCACCCTACACTACACCACACCCACACCACGTATGCAGTGAATATATGAAGGACCAGGAAAACAAAACAAAAAAATCTCACCACATGACTAGTTGCGCTGTCCTTGTCCCAAATCACTAGACTGGGTCTCTCTCCTTTCTTCATAGCTTAGCCCGATGAGAACATTCTGTCTCAATTGATTCTTGGAAACTGACTTCATTATTTTTTTTTTTTATGGTGAAAAAATTTATATTTAGATTTAGCCAGCTGGACTCAGTTTAGATGATCCCAATTTTGTTGGCAACATCCAAAGCGTCATAGTCAGGAGCCAGTGGAACATATGTCTTCTTCCCTCCATTGGGCCTGACCAGGGTGTTGACCTTGGCCATGTCAATGTCATAGAGGTTCCTCACAGCCTGTTGGATCTGGTGCTTGTTGGCCTTGACATCCACAATGAAGACAAGTGTGTGGTTGTCTTCTATTTTCTTCACGGCTGACTCAGTGGTCAGCGAGAACTTGATGATGGCATAATGGTCAAGGTTGTTTCCCCTGGGGGCGCTCTTTCTTGGATATTTGGGCTGCCTTTGAAGACACAGTGTCTTGAGCCATCAAAAGGTAGGTGACATGCGGATCTTTTTTTTTCTGTGACCGTGAACACTTTTAGCACCGCTTTCTTGGCCTTCAAAGCCTTTGCTTTGGCTTCAGCTTTGGTAGGGTCAGGGGCTTCCTTCTCTGCCTTCAGTGCCATCTTTGTGAAAGGGCTGGTTCTTGTAAAGGGACTTTAAATCGGACTTCCCTACTCAACACCTTAGTGTTGGCCTAGGGAGGAGATGGGAGAGAAATTGACCTTGTCCTCACC